GGTTGCAAAGAGGCGAAAATTCTCCAACTCCAATTCACCCCCCCTCTTGGAGTGCATTGAGTCAACAGTATAGAATGAACGTTGGCTCATTCACCTTTTTGAGCTTGTTGAATGGGGTATTTGCATCTGTGCCCAATGTTCGTCAACTAAACACTGAGGGGGGAGTAATGTTGAGAATGGGCCCAACATCCAACATTGGCCATGTGCAATAGGCTCAATCATTTACCTATAAGCCCAAAAGGAAGATGCTTCTATGCATCAACCCAGACATATCCATGTGGGTGGTAACTCATGGACCAATTAGATGCTTATATGTATAAACTCATGTCATCACATGGAGGCTATAAATACCCCCCACCTACCTCCATGAAGGTAATAACTCTACTATGCTTCTCTCTCTATAATTACTCTTAAGAGCTTCTCTCTTTGCAACTACTCTTGAGAGCTTCTCTTTCTAGAATATCGAGTATTGTTGACTTGAGCGTCGGAGTGTTTTCCCCGAAGAAACATCCTAAAGATTTTCAGGTGTTGAACTAGTTGAAGATTTCTAAAGTACAGGCTCGCGAAACTGACCAAACAGGGGCGAGGGTCATCTAATAATACTTTCTTTTTTCATCCCTTAAAAAAAGAAGTATAAAAAATTAAACAAGTCTCGTATTTTACAATTAGAGTATTAAATAGGGACAATTACCATGCCAAAGTGCTTGCTATTATTTAATGCATTATAGTAAATTTGACAAATGGCTACGAACAAATTATAATCCAAATTGCATAATATATTTATTTTTTGTCGAATAAACAACATGAAATGGATTTGACGAAGACGGTGAAGATGAGGCCACAAATGACCTGGATGGAGATGGATTTGACGAAGACGAAGACGAAGACGAAGACGAAGACGGTGATCATAAGGAACCAGAGACCCAATATGGATTTGACTAAAGTTAAATGATTAATTTTTTCTTTATACTAAAAATTAAGGTTGCGATTGGTATTATGATCGTGAGTTTTTTTCTTATAATTATATAGTTTTTTTAAATATATATGCTTAATAGTTTTTTTCAGATATTTTTTTTAAATTATAAAAAATTACAATAAATTTTCAATAATTATATATATAAAATTAAAAATCTCATTTTGAAACTTTTTATTGAGGTTTTTACAAAAAATATTTAATATTTAATATAATTATAAAATTATTTATTTAAACTTAATTTCGTATAATTCAATTATATTATAATTTATAATATTTTATTAATTATAACAAATATAAAAAACTTAAATTATTAAGAAGTAGTAAATATAATTTATTTTAATAATTATATATCTTACAATATTTTTTAAATTTTAATTAATAATTAATAAAATTTATTATATTTCATCCATAACATTTTAAAAAAATAAATAATCAAACACCAAAATAACTTTTGATTATAGTTATAATACAATACAATTTAATATAACCACAACCACAACTACTGATATAATACTTCATAATAATTTCAAATGCATCCTATATCAAAATTTAAAATTTATGATTAAAAATATAAGTAATTTTATTATTAAATTACATGATTGGTGGTAGTTAAAAAATTAATTAAAGTTAGGTAATGAGTAATTAAAATTAATCATGTTTTTGTTAAAAAAATAATCATGTTTAAATTCATTTATTAATTCTTCAACTAAGCGACAAAAATTTTGAATTTTCGTATGTGGGCCCAATATGTTTAGATGAAACGTTGGGAAGTCTTAATGTAACTGTTAATACAGTAGTTGACATTTAGCGAATGGTAGGTAATGGTAGCACTAATTGATGATAAGTGCTAGTGAATAATAAGCTGATGGCAAGAGGT